CAAGAACAGCAGCTSCAGTGAGGACCTATCGCAGATTTCCCCCCAAATCATTCCTTTCCCTCAATCCCATATGGAACTGAACTTTGGTGTGAAGTCAACATAAGGAAGAGGGACCAGTGCCCTCCTGACTGCCCCATCCCCAAAAATACAACCTTACACAGCAACACCTCCCCCTTTGAGCTGACTTCCCTTGCCTCTTTCCCTGTTTTTGACAAGCCAAGGTTCTGTCTTTTGCAGGACACCTATTAGGAATTCCAGACTTCCCCCTGGAAGAAGGCTCCTTAGAGATACCCTTGCTCTGCCCTTCTCCAATGCCTTGCCCAGCTTTATCTCATAACAAGGTAGGGTCAGCCAACATCTGGGTGTGCTAGTCCAAACAAGATAGAAAYGCTAAACAGCTCTGTTTCTTCACCTCTATAATTTAGGAAAAGAGAAGCTGCACTCCTTGACCACCCTTCAGCCTTTGATGTACCCTGTAGCCTTGCAATTTTTTTCCCCTCATTGTTACAGGATAATACTAAGTGTATGTTAACATAAGAGCTTCCTAAGTTTTTTGAAAGGCTTGTTTGTCCCACTGCAAAGGGAAATCCTCCCCCTCCCTGACATATGCACTTATYGCTCCAGAGATTTATTCTTCAAGCTAGCCACTCTCTGGCATTGTTCCTTTTTGTTTATTAGCTATTCCTGGCTTTCTGTTGATTAGAAGGCAGGAAAATTGGCAAAACACATGGAAAAGGCTTTCATTGCGTGACAATAACACAAGACAAGGCAGGGTAAGAGAAGCATTTAATGAATATTTTTAACAGATGTTGATCATAAATGAAGAGTATAATTCATTTGCATGTGCCGGTGCCTTCTGATGRTGAATGAAGGGGAGAGTTTTGGCATCGCTTTTATATTTACGTGCCCTCCAGTCAGGCTTAATGTGCATATGGATAAAGTTCACCAAACTCCATTAGAAGAAAACATTTAAAAAGTTTCTCCGAACTATCCCTAAATAAATGAGCATCTATATTAATTCATGTGGTTTTCCCAAGACTCAACTTTCCAACTTGCTTTATAAAAAATTACTTTTAATGTTTTCCCTGTTTGATCCCTAAAGTGAAGCCCTTCACCTTTACTGAGATGAGAAGTGCTTGGCTGTGGTCCTGCTCCATGCAGTRGCATTCAAGCAGCCTAGAGATTGGTTTTGTCCCTAGAAATTTTGCTGTAAATAAATATWTGTGAACATTTATGTGAGCTCTTTAATCAGCCACAGACATATAAATGTCAGGAATGTTTATCTGGAAAAGGTCGGGATGAACAGGCTAAGACACATCTCCAATATACACTGAGTTTGTACTCCAAGGGAAGAGTTGCATAAAGCCAAATGTTGGATGTTGCTGACAAACCAACCACCTGCTCATTTACCTTGTGAAGGTAAGACATGGTAATTCTTGTCATGCAAAGTTTTCACGGTTCTTTCAAAATGCAGAGCCCAGAGCACATTCTGAAGCGCTCAGGAGATCTGAGCCAGCTTACGCCTTTCTCTGAGTCCTGTTGGGAATCACAGAGCAGAAACTGTCTGCAGCTGTCCTCCCTTTCTGGGAACACGTGGCTAATTGCGCCTTCCTAAGGGGTAAAATAATGAATTGTTTATTTTCTTGCCGTGTTTTTTGGCCTGTCCACCCCACCCTGAAGAGCTGGATTTGAACAGACTGAGTTGCTTGGGGCTGAGCTGTTTGTCTTTTTCTTGAACTATAGCAATTCTGTCTTGTCTGTGAGAAAAAATTGTTTTGGATGACCCCTCCCCTCTTTTTTACTATGTGGTTTTTACAAAGACAGTAACTGTTCTCTCAAGCAGTTCCACAGTCACGGGTTTGGATGTACAGTGACTGCAAACAGATTCAGAGGGAAAGGAAGCACAAATACGACCTGCATTAGAAAATACTTCCATCTTTGTGCAATTGGATTGGAAGAACAAGGTGTCTCCATACTTCACAGCTGAAGGGTAAGTTGCTCATCTGCAAAATGTTCTCCCTTGCACTGACAGAAAGCTCTTGAGCCACTGTACACTCCTGAAATACATCCCCAGGGGATGTCACTGCATGGAACGGTGCTGGACTCAGCACTGCTGGCTTCTCCTTGCCCTGCTGCTCCGCACAAGTMATAGGWGCYSTAAACTCTGTGGATTCTTAAAATTACTCCAAGGCACTGTGTTTATTATTTTTCTTCCCAAGATTATTTTCAACCTCTGTTGGTGTCGCAGTCTAGCTCAGAGTAATCCCTACCATGGAAATTAGGAGGCAGAAAGGGTAATTGGCTGCAGGAAGAGGTAACAGAAGCAACTATGCACAGAAAAATGCCTCCAGTGATGACTCAGTGGGACATTTGAGGACTTTGGTCTGTGCTCTCTGACGCAGGGTCACATTCACACGTCATAACCTGCAGTGCAGAGCTGGGCAGTGGGAGAGGGGTACAGC